AGTAAAAAGACAGGGGTGAGTAGTTTTCCTCTCCACACCCCTTCATAGAAGTAGATATAATGAACACGCTGCTGTCCACGTAGCTGCAACGTTCCGTAGAAGTCACTCCACAGGAGCTAGGAATACATGAATCCACTCTTGGTTTCAGAGATAACCATTCTTTTCTAGGATAATAAAATCCCTTCAATTCGGCTTGATAGAAGTGCTGCATTTTTGTTGTTGTTGTTGTTGTTGTTGTTGTTGTTGTTGTTGTTGTTGTTGGTCCACTCTTTTAAGCACTGCATCGTCAACACTAGGTAAAGTTGTTTAACATTGTCCAAATATTCATATATTACTTGCCGTAAAATATCTACTTTGTTGTGTTGTTTAGTCATTATCTAAACAAAGTTTGATTAGGTGGAGATTATCAAAATGTATTCGCTTCTCTTTTACCATTTGATAGCCTTTATATTGCTATACATAGTAATCGGTCCTAAACTATTATGGGGTCATTCTGAAGGCACATAATAAGCAACACAATCAACGATAGTTTACGAAACGTGACCTTGAACTGAAATAATCTAATGTGATGAAATATTTACAAAATAGCAGAATAAAACGAGAAAGAAGGTAGCACTAGGTTTCTTCATCCTACGGAATAACAGAGCCAGGTCACTGGGTCTCTGACGACCTTATTAATGAATCAGCGGATAAAGAAGTAAACACTCTATAAAATGTGGAGACCAGATTAAGGCTTTATAAATCAATAAACAAACATACTACTTTAACATATTATTTATTTATTTGATGTGTTTCGTTGATGTATTAAGTGTTTTTTTTAGTACTTATAGTGAGGATAAAATTTGCAAGAAACGCTGTGTGAGGTTAATATGAAATTTAAAAAAGCACTTGCAAAATCTTTAACCGAGAAACCGCGAAGAAAAGTGTAATAAAATCGGTTAAACTGCTCACATCTTACTCTCATTAAATTTTTCTCTCTTATTAACTAGATGTTATACACATTTGAAATGAGCATTTACGATACGGACCTAATACCAACCTCACAAAGTATTGGACATTTCATCGCCGAGGGAATTCGTCTGACGAACAAAGGTTTCCCGACCACAGTTTTTATGCGGCGGAAGAATACAGATTATTCAAACATTCATTTAAAGTAAGCTTACTGTGATTAACATTCAACCATGCAAACCGTTAAATCAATTTTATAGAAATTAGAGGCTTAGGACTATTGTGTGTGTTTATCCCCTTTTTCTCAATACGCTGCTTTCCAAGATTCGTATTCAATTATTATTGTTATTATTATTATTAATATTATTCAATTATTGTTCTATTCAATCTAACTTGGTTAACAGGTTTTAGGACTCATTAGATATTCGGATATTCTGTGTTTTAGGGAGAAGTAGCATCTCTAATTGAAGGCCGTTAAAGTCCCCTTCCTTCACCCCTCCGATATCTAGTAATAACGTAATACTCGGTTGTCACCTGTGGTTTAGAGAACCTGCTTCACGGTGGACATCGGCTTAGCAAACAGACAGATAGACAGACAGGTAAATGTAACCGAGACACTTAGCAGTGCTGCAGAGAGACAATAAAACACTTCGTTAGAGATTTTGCCTTGAGGCAGATCATGAAATATAACAGAAAACGGGTGTTTTTGAATCACATTCTCACGATTTTTTGTGGTTATCCGGAGGAAGTCCAAACCGTCATCCAGCAGTGGTGCATACCAGAATCAAAGAACCGCAAATGTACCTCTGCATCAACAGATAAACATAAATATTTTACATTCAAAATACCTATGAAGCGTTACCTCATCCCATAGATGGATCCAGTGTCAAAAATAGAGATTGGACTCACACGTTACACTTGAAACAAGCGGGAAACATAAACGGAGAGTATCTCAAACGTATTTTGTCAATTAAGCAAAACCATGAACGTACAATGGTAGAATCTTTAAAAATCCTCCCATTTGCGAAGCGTTGCCTCACTATTATTCCTTCCATTGTGCTTTGTGCTGCTTTTAAACTCTCAGCAAAATAAGCATTATGTTGCTGAAAATGTTTGCAAGTTGTTCTTTAAAAATAGATATTTTCCTTGTATGCACAAGCGATGCTTTATGGATTCTTTAAATAGCCAGGGGTTTCAAAATTCTATAAGTTTTTATTAACGAAATGTTTCATATTCCACGATAATGGAGCTGCATTTGAATCCATCAGACACGAAACGAATGACTTGTTAGGACCATCCTCATTAGTGTTCATTTCCATTCATTAAGAATTTCCGACGCGTTCCATTTGTTACCAAAGGTGAGTGGAGAGATTAAAACTGGATAGTTTAATTCGATTTATTCTATGTTCGGTGAATGTCACTCTTATTGTGTAGTCACATTGTAACCGCTATCTTTGACTGCATTTTGGCTGTATACGCTTTAATTTAGTTCAGTCTCTCTACCACCATAGATTGCAAGTAACAATGACCTTGAAGTGTGTGGACAATTTTTACGGTGACCACTGTACAAAAGAATGCGAACCCAATCCACTGATGTATCAATGCGACGATGAAGGGAATCGAATTTGCAAATCAGGTACATGAATTGATTGTTTTATTGTTTTGGTGAACCCCAAGCTGGCAAGACTAGATTGTGCGCTAGCATATCGGGGTGAGCCTCAGTGAAAAAGAAGTGAAAGCCTTCATTGTGAATAATAAAATGAATCATGTAGTTCAGAAAAGGCTGTCAGACTGAAAATACCACTTCTAAAAATGTATTCATTCATCCATTTCCCGATCTGTAGTATTGATAAAAACATATAAACATGAACAAAACTTCCGAGGTTATTACTTTTTTCTGTGGGTATTGTATTTTTGGTTTTAGGTTTAGGTTTTCTAATTTGAGATACGGTTTTTAAAATTGGAGTGAAACACGCGATGGAACTGTTTGTGATAAGCGACAAAGAGCACTGGACAGCTGTTTCGTCCTGTTTGGGACTCGGCAGCAGAGGGTACTTTCTGTGCCCCTATAAGGGCTCTAACCGCGAACGTTCGGGTTGGGACTTCAAACCATTACCCCTGACAGGGACAGAAAAGTACGCACTGCTGAACGAGTCCCAAACAGGACGAAACAGCTGTCCATTGCTCTTTGTCGCTTACCACAAACAGTTCCATAGCATGTAAATGTATGAAAATATGGGGAATTAACGATCTCCCAAGGAGTGAAACTCACACTCAAGAACATTAATAGTGACTGGTACCTCTCAACAATCGAATGGGCTATTCCAAGCTTGATACTCTAAAATTGGAGTGAAATAGTTTGAAGAAAAATTGGTCACAATAAATCTACTTTTGATTTAGCTTCGAGCATGATCTTATAGCTTGTTAAATTCGG